GGCAAACAGGACGTAAGCTCTTGTAGATCCCTACCAAAGGTATCCAAAGGCGAAACTCAAATTAGCAGTTTCCAGTTTGACAGAAAAAATCCATCCCATAACCACACCGATTGAGGTTAAGTGTTCAAAGTAGGCTCAATTTCTGCTCCAAAATAAGAACACACAATAAATCTTTATCTTTACGATTAGTTAGATCATAATTAATCTTTCTGCACAGCATGATTTGATAAAGACCTAGTTATCGTCAGTCGTCACGACACATGTCACATATATGTGACTTGACAATAATAGTAGTTGTGATGAGTCGAACGTTTCATAACAATGCAACTTTAATCAAAAGGAGGGCCTAATTTAGAACCGGCAATGATAATGTGCATTTAAACAACTCTAAAAGCAGATATAACATCCAGGCCTGTATTTTTATCCTCCTCAACATTGACTGGGGCCAGATGCTTGTCCTAGGCTAGTTTAAAGTTACCAGGTAGACCGATTGCAAGTTGTTCTAGTATGTTTTAGCCACTTTTTGGAAATGTGAACACAGCCAAACAGCATAATCTTAACAAACCAATAAACTTGATCTTGAAATATATGGACCCAGTAAGAAAACATTCGTAAAATTGACAAGCACGTATTTCATGGGTTGCAGTCACCCAAACACTCTTAAAGCACGCCTTCATTTCTCTGTCACTACACTACACTCACTACACCTCACTACACTCTTTTCCTTCCATTACTAGCAAATCTGCTAGTTGCTGCTTGACCTCATCAATGCCTCATGGAGCTGTCGTTGCCTCCGTGACGTTTCTCTCGGTAAAAAGTGCGATTATTTCGCCTCCCTACTTTGAAGTAATTTGGCAGTTGCAAAGGTAACCCTGTCCCCTTATTCGTGCTGCCGCCTTTTTCGAGGGATTTATAAATCCTCCTTTGGTAGTGCTGATTTCTGCATTTTAAATGCGCCATTTTTTAATTTTTTTAAGTTTGCAATTTTTTGTATGCCCATGCACCCACGTATATTGAATTAAACCTTACTGTTTTATTCTTTCATTGCTATACTTTTGCTGAAAGGCGTTA